CACCGTCAAACGCACCGTTAAACACTTTGTGAGAAAATCGAATTTCATATCATCCTGAAGGCAAACATTGTTGCAAATCATCGTGGATCCGAAATTAAATGAATTACCGAAAATGTTTTGGTACTACAATCATATACCTATGAAAAATAGTCTTAATGATATTACTTGTATTCAGCATTAAAAAATGTCCATAATTCAACCTAATGAAAGAAAAATAAAACGGTTAATACAATAATACAATGAAACATTAATATAATATTAATATCCTTTGCAAAATGCCGTCAATCACATTAGCGACCGATACCGACAACGTTTCGAACCGTATCTCACTGACCTCCATCATGGTAAAAAAGAGAAAAGTTCGGTGATCGTTCGGTTCGGCATGTCTGCAGCAGGTCGTGCGTTTGGAACCGAACAATCACGTACCTACTGTTATCTAATAAAGACTACAGTTATTGCTAGTCGTTATTATCATCGTATTGTCTGTTTCATAAAAGTACAATAACAAAAGACGAGTCGGTTGCAGCACAACAGACAGCGCCAAATTACCGGTGAGTCCTCGGTGCTGTGTGGCCTCCAAGGATGATGACGTCACTGAGGTTGGCACCCAACTCGGTCAGTCGTTCGACGGCGTTCGCGCTGTTGTCCACTAGCACGTTGACCAGCTGCCGGTCGCTCAGTCCGTGGCCGGACTTCAGGGTGTCAGCGGCGAACAGTTCGTGGCTGTCGTTTATGTTCATCGCCCGCTGCGCAGACGTATGGCAGCCGTTGATGCCGCTGGTCGCCTTGGCACTGTTACCGCCTACCCTTTTCTCGCCCTCGATCAACGACACGTGAGCACCTCTCAGGCACGCGTAATAGGCGGCCGAAAGGCCGGCCAGACCACTGCCAACCACCGCCACGTGAACCGCCTCGCCCTTCGACTGCGCCATCTCGCCATAGAAATACAACAGGCATAAGATGAGAACGCGGCTAAGCATGGTGACGTTTCGTTGTGTCTGTATGTGCATGTGTGAGAGACGTACTTCAGGCTAACTTCACGACTAACAACGGCTGGAAAATGCAACGCAACTGTAAAACAAAAACAACAAACGGCGGCAGTGCAGTGCGAATAGACAACGGGAGCGCGAATACATTCGTCCACAAAGCAGTCAAGAAGTTTAAAATCACAAACCGACCGTACATCAAGTACAGACTAACTTTCGTACATGCACTCCCACCCCCCCGCCGCGCCAAAACGGCATAGCAACACGCGAACGTACCTTGTAAATCTGAAACAAGGACACGTTGAAATAACCATGAATGCAAAATATCTGTTTACAAATTATATAACAACTGTCCGCTTTACTGAACTTGCCAAAACGTTTTGGTCAAAGAGTATATTTATCAGAGAAAAAAATAAATCATATTCTGCATTGACGAACGATTTTCGATACCGCCCATAAAAAAACATACAAATGCAATTTCGGTGAATTTACACGCCAGGATCGTCCAGCTTTCTTAATGCTACAGGCGTCGGATAGCTCTTGAGAAGGCCACAGCCCAGGCGATCAGCGTATGCAGTGCATGGCTGCAAAACTGTGTGCCTGTGCTAACCCGAATAATAATCGCCCGAAAACATACTTGAAAACGTAACAATGTTCTTTGACGCATCAAATCAAATCAATGGTCTTCGTACTTCTTACGGGACCACCCTGAATACAAACTTCTTTACTAAAATCACCGACGTTTCTATAAACGCTAACAATGAACCAATGATGGATGGATTTATTTCAAGAGTCAGTTTGCGATATCGAACCGCTGCAGGTCCAATAACACATTTTATGTATGTTACCAACCAGAAAGGCAAATTACGTTGCATTTCATATCATACCAGTGTTGTTTTAGCATATAATATTACTACACGTATATAGCATTACTGTACTATAGAGTAGTACGCCCTCATTGCAGCCACATAATGTACTTTGCCACAATAGTTAATAATTTATGACTTTCGACTTTTTCATTTTCCATCGCCAATAGCAACAATCGCTTTAGGCTCCCAATGAACTGATCAGTTAAGCGCTATTTTTGATCAAGGCAATCAGCAACGCCTACTGGTGAAAGAAGAAGAATCATAGGACGAAGAAGTTGGGAATAAGGAGAGAAAAAAGAAAACGAAAGGAGAGGGAATGAAAGAACGAGGCGGAGAAGATGAAGAACTATAAGAGGAGGAAAAAGAAGTAGATCAATGAAAAGGGAAGAAGAGAAAGAAGAAAAAAGTGCTCTTGGGCAAGTAAAAGCAATGGAGCTGTAAAACGTTGCCTAAAGCCCAGGGTCGTGGTTCGTATGGCATAGCAACAGTAGCTGGTAGAGAAAAAATATTTTTTATATCTTTAGATATCTTTTTTTCTCAAGATAAAATATTGTCAGTTAAAGGGAGCTGTTAGAGCCTCGTTTTTTTTTAAAACGGTAATGTCGATGCATTGCGAATGCATATATGCCATGAAGCAGCGACCTGATTATATTTTTCACTAAGAGTAACGGTGTAACGTTGCCGTGTAATCCGAAGTGGTGGTAACTCTCTGTGACAGCGTTGTTTTAAACCAACGATTATTATTACAAAATATACATGTTAATGCAGAGGAAGAAGGAAGAAGAAGACGGAGTTTCTGAGAAAAACAAGTGAAGAGTAATAATAACAAGAAAAACGAGGAGAGAAAAGGAGAAAAGATAAAAACTTTGCAAAAGAAAATAAATATACACTGTCTAATATTTTCCTCCTCTAACTTTTCCTCTTGACAATTATTCATGCATTCAGTACTGCGCTTGTGCATCGGAATTATACTGAATAATGTAATGCACGTACATGAGTGCTAAACTGCTTCATACAAGATGTGTCGAGAACAAGCTCCTAAGATTTGTCATATAAATTTATCAACAACTGTGTAGCATCCATTCTAGGAACTGAACTACACGGTTACGATCGTGTATACGACGGATGAGCAATCTTATGAAGGTCTTTAGGAAGGTTTCAGTTTCACAAAGGGGATTTTTGAATTTATTCCTCACTGCCGATACCCTCGCCTGTCGGAAACAACCTACACAACGAGGATGGACTGAATAGTCAGAACTTTCCCACAAACCATCAAAGCGCCATTTACAACAGAACCCTCAATCTGTTTTAGCAAATTTAGTCTTACATCTAGGACAATGACGTAATTGTCAGCTATGAAGAAGCATTTTACGCGGCCATAATGGTGGGTTAATTTTGAGGCGGGAATGTCCTGCAGCAATATATAGGAGGAAGCAGCTTTTCGCAAATCATTTTAACAGTCCATTCAACATTCAGATCGAAGTGTTTTATTCTTCGAATGGAAGATATTCGTGTACCTCTAGCAAGTAACGATGAAACTTGCACATCTCGTGACATTCACCTACAAACCATTACGCAGAAATATTTAAATTCTTTGACCCTCACAAAAGTTATATCAAGACAGGCAAGGAATAACGACTACAGAACCAAGAGGAAAAACCACGTAAGGGTGCAGAGGGACACTGTCGTATGACAAATAAAGCAGATAGGATTAAAACAGCAATGATTCGTGGATGTCTTTTAACGAAAGATCAGCATTCCTCTGTCGAAAATGTTCCCGAGTAAAGTATATCGAGGAAGCACCTTCTGCACGTAAGGCATCATTAACCTAGTGCAAGCGGAGCAGTCACATGACTATACCGACAGCCAAAACAAACA